AGCATTTATAAAAGTTATACTTTATTCCCATTCGTTCAGGGCTGGCTATCGCGACGCTTCTTCAGCGAATAATATGGCGCAAAATGTACCTGGCAGCAGATGCTCAAGTACAACAGAGGCATGACCTGCATAAATGCGTCCTAGGCTATATATATATATGTACTTCTTTATGCTCGTACAGATGACACGCACTTAGTAGATATTGTCAGTCTTGTAATATTTAATGCATGAAAATAGTTGATTTTTATTCTGAAAAAGGCAGTTTTGGAATATGATTGATGGTGGCTGCCTCTGAAAAAACGAACAGAAGAATTAGCAGGAGTCACTATATTGCTTCTGGTGCTTGAACTTGCGTATTCTGCAAGTGTTTACATTTTAAAGCTGAAATTTGCTCCTGAGAAAATTAACCATGGAAAAAAATACTGTGCAGAGAAAATCTTACACAGCAATGTTAAAGCTGGAAGCCGTTAATTTTGCGAAAGAAAAAGGGAATCGTGAGGCAGTCAGGAAATTCAACGTTGGAGAGTGCAGTGTATGGGAATGGAAGGAAGAAAAAATAGTCCTAAAATGTTTACACCAGAAGAAACGTGGAAAAAGATCAGGAGATGCTTCTAGCCAGAGTTCAAATAAAAACACCTCTCGAGAGGGTTCTTTTACATATCGGAATGACATAAGGTGTCAACAACCGGTATTTTGCTGAGGGCAAAACAGGTAGCAGAAAAGTACAAAATAGAAAGTTCCAAAACATACCCATCATAGACTTTCGGATTTATGAACAGAAACAGTTTGTATTTGTTTATCCTCGAGTGTTGGCAAAATCTACCCAGTCACTGGGAAGCGAAAGTAGAGAAATTTAGACTTTACGTTAAAGAAAATGTGGTGTGGATTCTGCACATTTTGGTTACATGTACGAAGCGCCCGTTAGTTTTAATCTCCCTGGTTCAAAGGCTGTTAATTTAAAAGGATTAAAAGAAATTTTCGTAGCCATGATCGGACATGAGAAGTAAGATTTTACTGTTGTGTTAAGTGTGACCTCTAATGGTGGAAGGCATTCACCTTTAGTTGCATTTAAGAGAAAAACAGCGCCTAAAGGAAACTTCCCCAAAAGACATTTTGATTGCTGTGAATGAGAATGGATGAGTCAATAAAGACATAATGAAAGCATGGTTTGAAAATGTTTGGGGAAAAAGAAAACAAGTCTTTTTCAATCCAAAATCCTTATTAATAATGGATTCTTTCGGTGCGCATATTACTGATGATGTGAAAAAGTTAGTAAGCAAGTATTCAAAATTGGCAACTATACCGGCTGGATAAACAAAAAAACTCAGCCGCTTCATTTCTCCGTTAATAAATCTTCTAATTCAGATTGCGTTCCAGATGGGAGAAATGGATAATTACTGAAACTAAAGACCATAGTAAATCTGTAAAGATTAAAAGGGTGTCATATGAATAAATGCGCAGGTGGATCGTTGAAAGTTGC